TCGCCATCTGAACCCTCGAAAGGAACTTCCTTATGGTTGTTATCTTCCTTAAATTTGCCTGGAGGACTCTTGCCTGCAAACACCGGTTAACCTGTGTAAATGTGGGGTGGTATAAGATTCATCACACTTTCTTAGTTGACTTTTCCATTCAAATCGCTCTTTTTTGAAGGGACAAGGTTAATTTATTTGAACTAAACATGTTAAGTATAGCCAGTAAGCTTTTACTTTACTTATAAAGATCATTGCAAATTTGAAACTAACTCCACTTATATTGATAACATATCACCCCTAAATAGAAAATAAAACATTCAGAAGTATGTAATATTGGAGAAGTGGTATAATGCTTGTTAGATAAATTCTTTCTTTTTTTGTGCACTACTACCCATTTTTACACAAAAATATCTATTTTAGCACTTAAATATTTATTTTGAGATAACCTTTTATCCAAACTTATATGTAGTACATAGAAAAAACCAGAAATAAAATAATAAAAAAGCTGTATACAAGATATCATAAAACAATGGATGAAATAAAAGACGTTCTTATTAATCGGATTCTTAAATAAAACTTACGAAGACATATTCACGTTAACAAAATACATTAGGAAATTTCCGCATATGAAACAAAATCCAATTTGGTAATGAAATCCTGTTGTATCTATAAAGCTATTTTTAGAGAACTTGTACCTACCAAAAACAGGTAGTTAATAGTATACATATCTGTTACAAACTGTAATGCGTATGAATGATAACAAAACTAAGGAGTCCATATAAACCGTCCAGACTTTACGCGAGAATTATACATCTTATAGCAGAGTTGCCAAACTATCAGAGCTTACTTAAACCGATATACGTATGGTTCCAATATATAGTGAAAAAGATCTGAACGACCCCTATAATATATACACGTGAACTAAGCGATATACATTTATGATACAGGGATAATTATGGGCTCCAAAATTTTTTTAAAAATTATGAAACTATACATGTTGACGAATCGACAGAGCCAATATTATGGAATGGTCAAGTGAGCTCCGTATATCGGTGTCCACTTGACCACGGAGCTCACCTGAACCTGAATTTTAACATGGGCGGAATCCACTTTATGCCGTAAATATATATATATATATATGTATATATATATATATATATATATATATATATATATATATCCTCTAAAATAACAGCTGATCTGGTAGATGAAAAGGGAGTTGAGGTTAATTGGGTATACAGCTGATTAAAAGCCAATCTGATGATGCCAATGAAAATTGGCGAAATATAATGAACTGTTGAACAGAGTGCACTTAGCTTAACTCCCTTTATATATATATATATATATATATATATATATATATATATATATATATATATATATGTATATATATGTATATATATCATATAGCCGCTATTTCGTAGTTCCCTCGAAGCGGATGTCGACCTTCCTGACACTTGTCAAATAGCATAGAAAGAAGGCAGGTTTCTACCGTTGGGGAACCTACTGGAAAATACTGGTTAGAAAAAGATGTTTACAGTTTAGATATCAGCCATTATTTATCGTAACAGTAAGAATTCCAATACCACCAAAAATACGTTTGGGTATTTTAGGTTAACCATTATTACAATAACTTATTTATAGCAACAAATCCTCACAGATAATTTGTCTAAGGACTAGCAACCCCAGTGGACTTCTACGTTGCCATGTGATCAATTCCTTTTATAACCTAAATATCAAAGGTGTAATTAAAAGTTAATCAAACTACATTTAAATGATTTTACCCACATATTTGGTGGCTTCAAATACGTACATTCAGGTAGTACTGATGTAATATACCTTCTATACAGGGAATTTGTTAAATAAAAATTTTAAATACACTTAACTTACCAACGGATGCTCCATTACTTCGCAGAGAACAGGATATCCCTTATGTGTTTCTAGGTGATGAGGCTTTCGCACTACATAGACATTTGATGAAACCTTTTCCAGGAAATCACTATATTGGCACGAATAAACAAACATTCAACTACAGACTTTCAAGCAGTCGTGTAATTGTTGAAAATACTTTTATTGTGTTGACATCTATTTTTAGAGCGTTTAAAAACCGACAGAAATCGACGTAAGCAAGATACCGATAATAGCATTGAGTTCCATTTAATTACATAATTTCTTGTAAAAAATACAACATTCTCGAAATTTGTACACACCTCTCGGGACTTTTGATACCATTCAGAACAGGGTATTTAATGAAGGCTCTTGGAGGCAACAGAATACAGATTTATCTGCCTTAAGAACTATATAACCTGTAACCCGACGAGCAGCAACTACCGCTCTAGAAGTTTATAGTTTTGTCCTCAATTTTCTCATTAATAGACTACGATTTCTTAATCGGATTAAAAAGCATAAAGCTCTTGTGTTTGTAAAAGAAACATTAGTTAAAGCATTTATTTTTTTATTTATTTACCTCGGCTACGGCATTTGTTGTGTCATCCACATCATAAACTGTTTCCAAAAAATTTTCCATTAATTTAAAAGCAAACCAAATGGGCTGGAACTACCTCATCAGCATCCGCTCCAGATCTAACTCATATTTTTTTCTTTTTATAAGGGTCGGAATGTTGCCATTAGTGACTTTTTTTTCGCTTTCCGTTCTTCTATTGAGGTATTTTCCAAATTGATGCTGATCTTTTCCCACGCATTGTGTTTTTGTGCTTTTTTTGTGGCCTTTATGTGAAGAATCACACAACATTCTCTCATTAGCATATAGCTCTAAAAACTTTAGCACTTGGTCATTGCTGTTCCACTCAACTATAGTTAACGAAAAATTTACCAAACAATAAACAAATAAGTCCGTGCACCGACAAGACAGCGAGCAGCATTTAAACAGTCACTGTCACTCTCACTGTCATTCGAACTACAAGTCTTTTGAGTAATTAGCGCGAGCGACATATTTACATACTCAAGCTGCAAACTACCCTGCTCAATTCCCTGCCCACTGCCGAGGAAGGGAGCGCATGTAAAAAGGGTATGACTCCTTGCGCTGTCTCCACACATGGGGTCCAACATTGGAACCAACAGCGTTCGTCCAATGTGTGTAACGACAAAACTGTGTTGGAGCCAATGTAGGCGCCAACGTTTTTATAACTTGCTCCATTGTTGGGAGTTTTCCGTGGGCTGTCGGTTTTTGTGAACACATCAAAGGGATTGGCGCCAATACTGATGTTGCCGTTGATACCAATCACAAATTGGTGCTACAGCAGTATTCCAATCGGCGTATAATTATGCGATTTGCGCATAATTTAGTTGTTGGTGCGTCATTTTCGCATCCTGCAAAAAATTACCTAATTTTGCACAATCTAACAAAGCAAAAGAAACTAAACCAATGACAAGCCACAGTTTATAAAAATAGTCCTGGTTTTCTTGTTTCTTTTAAAACGCTTGTGCTTTTATTATACACGGCTTTCTTTTTAAAAAATAAAAATGACCTTATTGAAGAAAATTTCCATTCCATGATGGCATTACAAAACAAATTTACAACATGTAAAAATCGATCTTCGGTCACCTAAGCCACCTCCGTTGAGTTGTTTAGGATTAACATTCCGATACACGACGCTACGGTGGTCTATCAGAACAGGGTTTATGCTCAAAAGGCTATTTCTTACATAAATAAATAATATACATATTTGATTTTTTCAGTACCTTTCAGGCACCCAAAAAAAGTGTAGTTATTTAAATATTTTACAAAAATATATGTTTTATATTTTGTAATATAGATCATTTTGTCTTAACGGATCACCGTCGTGTGGTCATTGGTAACTTAAAATATGTGCTTTCATATATCATCTGTGGATTAAAGTCACGTTTGATGCTGAATATATCTAAAATAGAAGGCTAAAAAATTTGGGAATTGAGTTAATAAAGGAATAAATGGGATTCAGAGCCTCTACGTCAGGTTTACACTCATATATTCAGTCTGCAGTTGCCAAATACGGCATCTCTAAAGATCTAGTAGCTTTAAGTAAAGCTGTAAACAAAATGTAAAATCATCACGACAGTCCACTGCAATTTCCATATCGGACATGTTGACGTTGGCTCTAGAGAGAACAGATTGATGTCGCCCCAATACTCAACCCAATATCAGACCAATATGTGGATGCCTCACCAAACGTGGGAACATAGTTGACCCAACGTTAGCTCCAACGTTGGCGCCAACGTTGGATCCCACATGTGGAGCCAGCCTTGTAGGCAGTGCAATCTTTATTATTTTGCTGGTTGGTTTTTTCACAAACTATTTTCTGACAAACTATCACAAAGTACGTATATTTTTTCTTATATGTGTATTAACTTAACAAAAGTTAGGTTAGGTGTTGAAGCGGGCTATTGTGTTTTGTAGTTTTTCATTTCAAGATCTTTTTATTTTATCAATGTTAATAGTCGTGCAAATTTTTGAGTACGACCCTGACATTGCGTTCATTTTTGACCTGATAAGTATGAAAAAGGAGTATGAATTTATTCTCGACTGAATTATTTTTTTTATTATTATTGTACAGCTATCAGTTGACTTGCGCTTCAATTTTATTTGATCAAAATACGACTTTAAGTTCATAATTATTGTTTACTTTTCATATAAACTAGTCCTCCTCTTCTCCTTTTAAGAAGTAAATATTAGGCATGATGCATACCTCCGTCACAGTAGGTATATGGCTAAAGAAGGGAATGGGAAATGGAGATAAAAATTTTTTTAGCTTTAAAGTGTCTCTGTCTTCCATGTTCTCATTAAGACCGAATTTTTACTATTGTAAACTTACTTTATAATAAACTCTAACAATAGAAAAAACTACTAAAATTAAAAAAAACTACTACCTACTAATATATTAAAATAATCTTTATTAACTTTTTATTTCATTTTATAAACCCACACTTTGGAAAGAAACCACACACATTACGTTTCAAGAGAGGTGGTTCTGCAGTCAGTTTATTCGTCGTTTTAAATAATGCTGTTCATTCATAAATACTAAACAATCCTTGTATAATTCACCGTCAAGGTTACAAAACAAAAATATTCCTGTTAGTTTTTATGAGAATCATAAAGTGAATAGTGAATCATTATTTATTGTATTTTTGTGCAATTAGAAATTAGGTAAGTAAATAGTTCCTATTTCGTAATAAAAAATTGGACCTAACTGTATGAATAATGTTTTGTTTTGATTAATATTAACGTCACAATCATGACAGATAATGTAAATGAACTGTGTACTTCACAGTAAAATTAAATAACAATAGTTGCATGTTGCATGGTTTAGATTTAGATCAAAGATCAAAATATATATCCTGTCAACACTTTACAGAGTAAGGGGGAAAAAATTATAAGCTCTCAAGTTTTCCTATACCGTCTAAACACTCTAATGTCTCTGAGTTTAATTTATTTTTGTTTGGATGTGTAATTTATAAATATTTTGGTAAATCCGCACACTATAATATACAAGGAGTAGGTAATTGATATTTGCGTTTTTGTATGCTTCTCTTTAGGAATTTAGTGTGTTTAAAACGGTTTAAACTATAGTTATATATTTATTTCTTAAATATGAGGGCACCCACGTCAAGTTAAGTGAAATATACCTATAAACCCTATACCTTATAAATCCTAAATTAAAAGCCATGAAGTTATATGAAGACCGATAAATAATTTAGCGATGATCACTGGACCTGAAACAGTGGCTTTATAATTAATTTTTCCAATCACTTGAAAGGTAAATGATTTGATTTTCTACATTTTATGTTCAGTAATAATGTTGGATTTTGTTCTATTAAAGGCAAATGAACTGAATATAATATGAAACTTAGAGCTAAAATTAATATTATTACTAAAATTAATATCAAACTCACCAGTCTTCCGGGTTGAACCGCGTCGATATCCATTTTGCCGAGCTTTCGGCATCCTCTCTGATGCCTTCCTCAGGGCTTCCGAGGTCTCAGTCTCCCGAGCCCCCAGACACTACTACACTGTTCACTGATCACTACGCTGTCACTACTACGGCTGAGATCAATACGCCTTTCCGATGATGCAAGTAGACCCGCTGAGCTCTCTTGTTTAAAACAAGCCCTAATCCAAAACCGTTACCACGAAAATCACATCAATAGGAGCATTCACAGACATCAATCTCCCACTCATTCTCAACCCAAAGACTCAGACCCTTATCATACGAAAGCTTTTCTTCCTTATATCAAAGGTGTCACTGACAAAATCGACAGAATTCTGAAACCAAGAGGAATAAAAACAATATTTACTCCCCAACAAAAACTTTCATCTCTTGTCCGATCTATCAAAGACAATATTCCAAATGAACAACAGGGAGTTTATGAAATACCTTGTGCAGACTGTCCTCGATCCTATATAGGCCAAACAAATCGTAGAATCCAAAATAGGATTTATGAACATTCCATTTCTGTTCGCAATTCTGATTCAATTTCAGCTCTCGGTCAACACCATCTTCATACAGGTCATAAAATTGATTTTGAAAACTCCAGAACCATAGCCCCTATCGGCTTCTATAAACCAAGAATTATTCGAGAAGCCATAGAAATATAAAAAAGGCCAAATTGTCTTAATAAAAGAGATGACGCCATACGGTTACCTTCTACATGGAGACCTCTCATAAAGAAAATATCGCCCCCTCCATCCTCGAATCAAAATTCCACAGTCGGAAATGTTCTCGCCAAACCCAGCGCCAACTCTCGCGCCAACCCCCACCTAGGCCACGCCATCATTCCCAGCCGTAGTAGTGACAGCGTAGTGATCAGTGAACAGTGTAGTAGTGTCTGGGGGCTCGGGAGACTGAGACCTCGGAAGCCCTGAGGAAGGCATCAGAGAGGATGCCGAAAGCTCGGCAAGACGCGGTTCAACCCGGAAGACTGGTGAGTTTGATATTAATTTTGCGTATTATAACAACTATCGAAAACATCTACCAAAACAACAAAATAGAAGTCAGAATAGATGGACAACTTACAGGACCTATAAAAATAATCAGCGGAATAAGACAAGGGGATTCATTGAGCCCCATGCTCTTCAATTTGATCATATATGAAATCATCAAAAGCATTAACAAAGGACGAGGATACATAATGGGAAACAAAGAAATAAAAATGCTGTGTTACGCAGACGACGCAATATTGATAGCTCAAGATGAAGATAGTCTGCAAAGACTGGTTCACAGATTTAACATAAGAGCAAAAGAATTTAATATGACAATATTATATCAGAAAACTAAAACAATAGTAGTAAGCAAAGAACCAACCAGATGTAAAATAGAAATTAATGGCATCAGTATTGAACAAGTAATGGAAATACAAATACCTGGGAATTATTATCATGTATATTGAAGACTCTTGAACGGATGATTAAAATTAAGTTAGATTGGTGGCTACGAGATCAAAGTCCTTTACCCGCTAACCAACATGGCTTTAAGAAAGGTTATGGAACTTTAAGTTCCTTAACAACTCTTGTTGTAGACATTCAGAACAGTTTTTCCAAGAACAGTTATGTTGCTTCTTTATTCTTAGACATCGAAGGTGCTTACACACAAAAAATATCAGCAATCCATAGAAAACCTGAATAAAGTGTATGGATTTCATCAAAAATGGTTGATAGAAAATGGTTTTGAATTGTCTGGCAGTAAATCAGAAGTTTGTTTATTTACCAGACATAACTTTCCTAATGCCCGTATAATCAATTTAGGTGGGCACCAATTTTCCTTTAAAAACACCATTAAATATTTGGGAATAATACTCGACCAGAAATTGACTTAGAAGGTACATATTGATGACATGTTGAACAGATGCAATTAGGGATTAAACTTTCTTAAATCAATTAATAAAACTTGGTGGGGATCGGATGTTAAAGTAAGTTTATTATTTTATAAAGCTTATATACGATCTATTTTGGATTACGGAAGTATTTTGTATGGATCAGCAAGTAATGTACTACTAAACAAAATCAACCTTTTACAGAACTCAGCCTTACGAATATGTTTAGGAGCCATGAGATCCATTCCAGTACAAGCTTTATATTTGAAAGCTTTGGAACTTCCTTTAAATATAAGACGAAGTTTTTTGTCCAAAAAATATTTAATGAAAGTATAATCACTGAACTCATCTCTATACGAAAAGATAGTGAATTGCCATGACCTGACAAATAAATAATGGCAAAAAAAGATATCCCCCATTACTTTGCGAAGCGTATAATCAAAATATAGCACTTTTAAAAAATGTAGATAGAACGAACTACATATTCAAAAACTACTCTTCTTTCTTTTTACATACAGATATTATTGTACCAAATTATAGTGAAAACATATATTTAAATAAAAATGAATGATATTCTAAATGAAATTCTTCATTCTTTAGAATGAAATTTAACCAATTCCAAAAAAATATTTTTGGAATTGGTTAAAATGTAGGCGTCCAATCAGTTGAAAGAACTCCTATTATCTCCAACCGACACTTCAAATCTGGACTCATCTTTCTGTCGCAATGGGGGAACGATATTGCAGCGTTCAGTCCAATTATATTTTTTTCCATAGCTAATGTTAAAGTTGTTGCTAATGTTGCTATAGCAACTGTTTTGAGTAGATACAGTATCACTTTAACCGCAAGGGTAGATAAAGTCACACTTTAACAGCAAGAGTCGATAAAATGTTTTAATTTTTTTTATTCAATAAAATTTACAAATTCAAACACATTAAGGATTAAAAACAACTGAAATTTTACAATTAACATTCTTAGAAATATCTATTTTTGAAGCATCACAACTTGTGCTCGTTTGCTTAAACACTTGATTCGAGGTACTGGATTGATTTTCTGTAACATTTGTTTGACATTTGTTGACAGAGTAATTCATATCCCTAGCAACGGAGAAACACAATTGCGATTTTTGTGCTAAAAATTACAATGTTCTTTGAAATTCTATTTTTCACCTGAACTTGAAGTCTTGCTATATAAAAAAAATGTTGTATTGCACACTACGATAAAAACGCATTATCTTCTCGAGCATAATTAGCGTCTCAACTAACGTCTCGATGCTAAAAAACGTTCTCGAAGATAAAGTTCAATTTTATCGTCTTGTACAATAAATAACTATTATGTCATGGTTAAAAGTAGATTTTTAACTATATAACTTATTTGTTAGTATCAAATTCTAATTTGTGGTCCTCTTGGTGATTTGTTGATCTAGAAACGTATCTTACAACAACGTCACATCATAAAACACTTAACTCTAGATAAGTTGCACGGCGAGTTTTCACTATAATATGTCTTAATCCACTTCAATCAGCGTCGCTTATTTTATTTTTTCCTACATTTCTAGGTTTTGTGACGACCGATCCTGTAGTTTTATATCTTTTGACTATATTTCTTACACTATATAGCAATAAAAATCTAATGTTGATTAAACAAATTTTCTCAACCAGAACTTTACCTCGACCCATTTTAAAACTCACAAATGGCAATAAGCTTTAAAATTTCACAAAATAGATTTGATATTCTTCTTCTTCTTACGGTGCCTATCCGTTCCGGATATTGGCGATCAACATGGCTATCCTAACTTTGCTTGCTGCTATTCTGAATAGTCCGGTTGTCGATGTGTTAAACCACTTTCTCAGGTTTTGAAGCCAAGATATTATTTTTCTCCCTGGTCCTCTCTTTCCAAATACCTTGCCCTGAAGAATAAGTTGCAACAAGCCGTATCTCTGTTCATTCCTTATAACATGGCCAAGATATTCCAGTTTATTCCAGATATTCCAACAACACATCTCATGCCTTGAGTTTTCTTAAAGAAGCTTCGGAAAGTGTCCAGGCCTCTACTCCGTATAATAATGTAGAAAATGCATAGCATATAATGAGAGAGATTTTGGTAGAAAGTGGTAAATCGTGACTTCTGAAAAGAGACTTCATCATTATGAACGCTGATCTCGCTTTTCCTATGCGCTGTTTTATTTCACTGGAGTGATATCATTGGCTGTTAATGTTGGTACCAAGGTATGTGTAGCTGTCCACTCTGTCAATTGGATGTTGGTTAACCAAAAGCTGTGTATTTAATATTTCGCGCTTACTGACTATCATGTACTTTGTTTTCTTCGTATTAAG